CTTTTATATTTTTCATATATATATATATATATATATATATATATATATATATATATATATATATATATATATATATATATATTATTAAAAGTGAGACCATTTTTTAAAGTGAGAGAATATTGTTATGATGTAGAAAATATAAAAAATAAAATAAAATAGTTAAAACACTTACAAATTTGATAATGTGAAAGTAGGGTTCAGTTTTGAAAGTGAAAAAGTATTGATAAAGATAGCCTAAGGATCCAAAATCTTCTTTCTCAACTTTATCTCTCTTTCATATGTGCAAATCCACATGTAAAAACCTTCCAAAATTTCCTATTGAAGATGCTCTCAAGATGTTTACTCAATGCACATTATTAGATAAAATAATAATTGTGAACTGCCCTCATCTCAAAAATAAAATAAATTAGTATTCATAAAGCGCAAATTATGCTGTGGATACGTACGTACTCACCATGTGCATGGTGAACACATGGGTAGATCCATAATTTCTATGTTGTAGATTCATAATTCCTATGCTGTAGAAATTATGAATCTACAGTACGGTATAGAAATTATGAATCTATAGTATAGAAATTATGGAGATCTATAATTTTTATGATGTAGATCCATAATAATTATGGATCTACAACTTAGAATTTATGAATCTATTCCGTGTTCACCATACGTATGGTAAACACGATTCCACAACATAACTATTGTCCATAAAGTTAGTGGGTTCGTATTATATGATTTTATTAATTTAGTCTATATACTTTAATTTAATTCAGTTTAGTATATTTACTTTATTAAAATTATATAATTAAATACAATTGTTATCCTCTTATGAAAATAATCTCAAATCCCTCCACTTTATTAAGTGACCAACTTGATATTACTGTATGAAATTTAATTATAGAGTATCTTGAAATATTAGTTATAGAAAATTTTATTTGTATTTTTAACCCCCTACCCCCCCCCCCCCCCCTCTCCCCAAAAAAAAGTTTCATATAAAAAAAATAAATTAAATAATTACGATACTAAAATGATAATTTTAAAAGTTGTGGGCTGAAAGTAAAAACACCTCAATAGTCATAGGACCAAAAGTGAAATTAATTCCTATAGAAAAATTAAAAATGATAATTTAAATTTTCAATTTTCAATTTATTTTTATCATTAATTTTTTAATTGACATTTAAAATTGAAGTGCATGGTCACTTCAATCTCCAACAAATATTAAAGGGGGTGTTTGGTAAATGGTTGTTAGCTCATAACTGTTAGCTTATTGGGTTAGTGAGTTTGACTAGTAGATAACATTAGTTGATTGTAGAAAAATATTTCATAAATTAACTGTGAGCTGGTAGTTGATTACATACAAAATGATTTTTTCAAAAAGTTTATTGAAAAAGCTACTTTGAACAATTTTTTGAATTTTAGCATTTTGGAGCAATAAGTTATACAAAAGCTAATTAATCAAACACTCATATTGATTGTTTAACCGAGTCAAACAGATAATAGTGGTCAAATAAGTCAAAATTAGCTGATAGTCTACCTATTTTACCAAACAGGGCCTAAAACGTATTTATACTAATGCAAACTCATGTGTTTTTCACAAAGGTTACTTTAAAACTGTTCAAAACTATTTTTTAAAAAACTTCATTAATATACTTTGATAATCAATTTAGAATTCATCCATTATTCATTTTGAGTAAGATTTTACATTGAGCGGGTTCAGGCGGTTGGGGTATGCAACAAAGCAACCTGTTGATTTTTTATTGTTTATTTTTAAGATTAAAATCCAATCCTTAAAAGAAAGAAAAACAAAAATCAAAACCGGTCAAATTTTACAAACTTTTGATTCGGTTGGTTTAGTTCGGATGTATTCGAATTTGTCAAAAGAATTTGAAAAGTAAATTATTTTAAATAAATTTACATGCCAATATTACCATTTTTAATTTTACATGTCAAATAAGTAAATTATTTTAAATGAAATTCACATATTTACAAATCTATAAAGACAATTTATAGTTTACACTTCCAATTCACGTAAAATCTATATATATATATATATATATATATATATATATATATAGAGGGTTGCATTCACATGCAAACCCTCTTAAAATACAAAATTGAGGACAATATTTAGCCATAGGATCTATTTTGATGGATGGTTTAGATGCAATGGGAGAAATTGATTAAAGATTCAGTTTTACGGTAAATAAGGGCAAAAATGGGAATGAGTATACTACATAAATAAGGAATAAAAATCATTAGTATATTAAGCAATAATTTAGAGGTTTAAGTACGGTAGGAGTTGGATACATGAATAGCAACAACTCCACTTAAACAAAAGAACGCCGGCTACTTTTTCATCGAGGTGCAGTCATCACAGACCCCATGGACACAGGCAACATGAACAACAGAAAAGAAAGGAATTATACTCCTAACCCAGAATCAACGAATGGTGCAAATGCAGGTAATTACACCGTCAATACACAGTAATTATGAAAGCTGTGTAATTTGTTTGGGTTAAATTTGTTTTGGGGGGACAAAGGTAAAGCATATCACACGTACAAGAGTGGGTACTGGTAGCCGAGGTTTATGATAATGGTGAATACAAAGCCACATGATAGGGTTAGGGGAGGCGGCGGAACATTTTAAACAGCACGTGCACACAGAATTCATAGTGTGTGCATACATATTCCTTATTCAAGTTCGCGAGTTTAATTATAACGCGTATGGAAGTTAGATTATAATAACGCTGTATCCCTCACGGCAGTGTTCCCCGTGCATACGCAGTTAGGAAGCTGTGCACCCATATGGCCCAAGAAGCCGCATAACAGATTTGTAGCAAAGTCTTTGCATTTTTTTTATACAATCATTGTTGGCAGTGACTTATTGAGCACTAATGGTATCGCAATAACAACGTTCATTGACACAAGTAACATGAACGACAGAAACGAAAGGAATTATGATGCCAACCCAGATTCAACAAACAGTGCAAACGCAGGTAATTACACCGTAATTATGCATGCTATGCAATGTGTAAGGGTTAAATTTGTTTTTTGGGGGTCAAACGTAAAGCATATCACACAAGGGTGGGTACTGGTAGCTTAGGTGTAATGATAATGTTGAGTAAAAACCGCATGATAGGTTTTGAGGAGGCGGGGGAACATTTTAAACAGCATGTGCACACAGAATTCATAGGGTGTGCATACACATTCTTTATGAAAATTTGCACGTTTGATTATAATAATGCGTATGCAATACTGATTATAATAATGCTGTTTACACCACGCCTTAGTGTCCCGTGCACACGTATTTAGGCGGATGTGCACACATATATCCCAAGATGCCGTATAGCATATTTGTAAGGAATTTAGTGCCATGTTTTTTTCCCTAACTCTATGCACCACAATCACTGTTGCCAGTGGCTTATTGAGCATCAATGGTAACGCAATAACAATGATCATTGACAGGCGGAGACCATATTGGAGTAGGAACTACGAACTGCGACGTGCTCGTACTACCAGATGGGACGAAACAGTGGTTCCCTATTTGCAAAGACAAAAGCACACCATATGTTGGGCAAGAATTTTGACAGCTTAGAAGAAGGAATATAATTATTTTTAGTATTACAATTGTTATTTTTATTAATAATATTGTTATTAAGTTAACTGTAATAATTATTATAGTTATTTATGGGCACCATCGAAATGGTCTGCTTAATAGAGTGGGTGCTAAATTTATTTGAACTTGCATACGACACCCAGTAAACATACGAAGTTTTCCAAAGTGTGATTTTTATTTTGCTAAGTGTGCTCATGGTTCACCAGCCCCGTGCACACGTACCGTGTAAAATTGGAATGGCACTACTACCCACTCATTCTTGTTTTGAGTATTACTATTACTATTATATTTTCTTTAAATATTATTGTTATTATTACTGCAATAATTACTGGGCACTAGCGAATTGGTGTAATGGATAATAAGTAGGGATCACAAAAGCATATACTCTGGTGCACACGTGTAGATCTAATCCGTATTAATATGAGCACGAAACGTATAAGTTATTTAGCTATGAGTGCACACATATTAACACCGGTGCGCACACGAAAAATGGGTACCATTCACACAATCCAGAACAAAAATTGCACAGGTAATTGAGGACAAGTGCACACATAGCAACACCAATACGCACACGCGCACCAAACGAATTAAGACACAGACATAAATTGAAACCAAAATTGGTCTAATAGATAATAATTAGGGATCACACAGACATATGTGTACACACATTAAAAATAGGTTGTGAAGTGTTGAGTTAAAGTATTGGTTGATTTTTTTTTTTATTTTTTTTTTTGAGTACTCAGAAGTATTGGTTGTTAATTTAATTAAAACAGAGATTACAGTTGGTGCTATGAGTTTTGATATATATGAATTGAGTAACGCATTTATTGTTTGCAAGTGCAAACTGATATGAGGGCATGTGCATACAGTGCCCAAAATGATAGTATAATTAGTAATAAGTAGTACGGTTAGAACCAACGGGGTGACCAAGGACCTTGTGGTCCACTGGTACCTGGTTGCTCCCTTATGTGGGAGGTGGATGGTTTAAGGTTCAGTGGAGGCGATTATGGTGTCATTATGTAATAGGTTGTGTATGTGGGTATCCTCATTCCCTTATAAATAAAAAAGAACCAGCAGGGTGCACACGGCCGTACCCATGTATGCACACAGCTAAATGCATTTAGTTGATTAATACAGTAACAAAATGAACTTAGGCAATAGGCAGTGTAATTATGAACTTAACTACTTAGGCGGATGCTGAACTTTTAAATATATATATATATATATATATATATATATATATATATATATATATATTCATTCTAAATTACAGATTACACTTCTACATAGATGACATTTGTAATTGTGTGGTTCAATAATGCTACAAAATGAGATGGTTAGTGCTGGTGTGCACACTAGTATGCAAAACCCAAAAAAAAAAATCCTTCGGCTCGACAGTAATAATAGGATTTCCTTCAACATTTTCATAATTAACAAGCGACCAGTCCACATTCCTTGCAAATCCATGCTGTAAGCAATACAAACATCCTTAAGAGTCAAAATTAACATTGAGAAAGTGACCACAATTTGGAACTATCGTAACTTCATTCATCGAAAACAATTGTAGTGGATTTACCTGCTGAATTTGACCAGGTCCAAACTTCGGGAAACAATGTGGTATTCCTCAACTGTGCCAATGGGAAACTGTCAGTAACTTGGTATATTGGTGAATCTCACATCTCTACTTTCTCCTAGAATTCAAGCCTAAGAAACAAAAAATCCCAGAGATCCTTTAGCAATAACAAGTCATTTATAATTGCGTGGTTCAATATCAGATGAATTAGAAAACTCATCCAAAAAAAAAAAAAAAAAAAAATGGAAACACAGAACTCGCCATCGACCACTGCCCAAAGGCGAGGTCCGCTATCCCAATCCCACAGTCGACTACCGTAAGCCACCCCCCACCAACAACACAGAACTCGCCGGGAAAAACACATGCATAACCACCCGATCCCCCAACAAGCGAGCAACAACCCAACAAAACAGATGCTAAAACGAGCAAAAAAATCGCAAAAGGAGAAAAGAGGGCAAAAATACCTCGACCTAAATCCCGCGACCATTGTCCGGCTGCTAAGGAAGACGGTGAATCGACGGTGTTGGAGGAGAGCATTGGCAGAGAGAAGAAAACGAGAGAGAGTCCGGGAAACACGCGAAATTCTAAACGTGATTGTAATTGTGTAGGAATTAATCTAGTTACAAATCCAAAAATACCCCCCTAAAATAAAACAGTTGACCGCATCATTAAAAACACCATAAATAATTAAACAAATCCTGGACATCCAATCCCAAGATCCAACGAACCTAACGAATCCACACGTTTGTATTTTAAGCCCTGTTTGTATTTGAATATAATCCTATATATATATATATATATATATATATATATATATATATATATATATATATATATATATATATATATATAATCGCACTCAGGTGCGAATGCTTCGCCCAGGCGCGAAATAGGAATGAATTCTGTTCGTCCACGTGTCCAGATCTAATGGATGAGAAACACTGATTTTTTAAAAAAATGCGGTGGCATTTTCGTAAATAATTAAACATCGAAGTGCAAGTAAAATGTATTACAAGTACATGTAAAATGTATTATAGGTGCAAGTAAAAATTTACACTGAGCATCAATACTTAGTTGCACCTATAGTTCTAAGTAGTTGCACCTATAATTCTAAGTAGTTGTACACATAGTTATAAGTAGTTGCACCTAGGTGTATGAATGTTTGCGAGTGGTTTTCAGGGGTATTACTACCCGCTGAACTCAGATTAATGAATGTTAACAAGGCAAAATTACATGCATTTATAGGTGAAAGTAGGTGCACCTATAGTTATAAGTAGTTGCACCTATAGTTATAAGCACACCCAGGTGCATGAATGTTTGCGGAAAGTGAATGCTAACAAGGCAAAATTACATGCACTTATAGGTGAAAGTAGGTGCACCTATAGTTATAAGTAGTTGCACCTATAGTTATAAATAGTTGCACATATAGTTATAAGCACACCCAGATGCATGAATGTTTGCGGAAAGTGAATGCTAACAAGGCAAAATTACATGCACTTATAGGTGAAAGTAGATGCACTTGTAAGTGATTTTACTTGCACTTCGATGTTCAATTATTTACGAAAATGTCATCGCGTTTTTTTTAAGTTATTAGATCTGAACACGTGTCGCACGCTGATTCGTTCGCATTTCCCTCCTGAGCACTTATTCGCACATGAGTGCATCCCTCTATATATATATATATATATATATATATATATATATATATATATATATATATATATATATATATATATATATATATATATATATATATAAAAGTAAAATCATTCTACATCATTTCCCCGCCCAAACTTTCCTGCTAAATTAATTAAATAATAAATATTTTATAATTTTTTTGGTCAAATAATCTATAAATCTTATTTGGAAAGTAAATGTTTTATAGAAAGTACTTAAAATGTATTAATTGGTAATATTGTATAATTAGAATATTACAAATGTATTAATTGGTAATTAATTTATAGTAACTGTGAATATTATGTATGGTAATAACATATGGAACACTTACATCATTTCCCCGCCCAAACTTTCCTGCTAAATTAATTAAATAATAAATATTTTATAATTTTTTTGGTCAAATAATCTATAAATTTTATTTGGAAAGTAAATGTTTAATGGAAAGTACTTAAAATGTATTAATTGGTAATATTGTATAATTAGAATATTGCAAATGTATTAATTGGTAATTAATTTATAGTAACTGTGAATATTATGTATGGTAATAACATATGGAACACGGATTGCAATTTGCAAATGAATATTATGTATGATAATGAAGAAACGTGATATACAATTATGGTAATATAACCAAATCATATATGCTACCATTTATTGAACAGATACTACAATGTAATAGAGTCAGTAGCATTCAAAAAAATATATATATATGCTACCATTTAATGAAGAATTATTTTAATATGGTAATATTATGTAAAAAAAATTTGATCTAATATTATGGCAATATATAACCAAATCATATATGCTACTATAGCCATATATGTATACATATATTGGGTTCTCATATTGCAGATGACATAGAGGCGGTGTCTCCATGAGCCTGAAAGTGAACAGCGATGACGGGAGTACCGCCGAGGTCAAGGAGGAAGGCGACACAACGTAACGGATCAAGGCAACGACAATTCTAGCGTTGTGCGCGAAAGATGATAGATAAAACCTTGAGTTCTTTAGCAATCTAGAAGAAGCGATGCTGCAGAGATTGTAGAATGAAGTATCGGCACCAACAGTTATCATACACCAGTGAAGACGATGCCTCTTCTCGACTTCTGATTATATACAACTACGGCGGAGAAGATGATGGTCGGAGACAAGACTTGCGTGAATGGCATCCAAGGAAGAAAGGATTCTCCATAGGACGATTGTTCTATGTTCCTCCAAGGTGTGGAGAATTATACTATCTAAGATGCCTTTTAAATATCATACGTGGACCTTCAAGCCAAGAGGATATTCGAACTGTTTGGGGGGTCATTCACAAATCATTTAGGGATGCGTGTTATGAATATGGATTATTAGATGATTACAAGGAGTACATCGACGGTATTACTGAATCCAGTTATTGGGCATCCGCGTTTGCATTGCGAAGGTTGTTTGCTACGTTGCTCACTTCAAGTTCAATCACTAGACCCGAGGTGGTGTGGAATGCCATTTGGCAATTTCTTGCTGAGGATGCACAGTTTCGTCGTTGACGTCTCATGCATAATCCAGGTAAAACAACATGCAATCTATTTATTGAACATTATTATTTGCTTTTCATGATTAATACAAAAACCTATTCTTTGATTATGTTTTCGTTGCGTTTCTAAACAATGCAGATTTGTTGTTATCGGAATACGATAAACAACAATTTGCTCTGGTCGAGTTGGAGAAGTTACTGTCTTTGTGGGGGAAGAGCCTGAGCGACTATCCGAAAATGCCGATTCCAGAAGAAAACAACATTGGATTGACAGAAAACATGTTGAGATTCGAAGAGTTGGCGTACGATAATGAATTATTGAAGGTAGAGCATGAAACATTGGTAACTCAATTGACGGATGAACAGAAGGTGGTTTACAACTCTGTTATTAATGATATTGATTCTAATGGAGGCGGATTGTTTTTTTTATATGGTTACGGAGGAACAGGAAAGACGTTCGTCTGGAGAACATTATCTTCAAAGATAAGGAGCCGCGGAGATATTGTTCTGAACGTTGCTTCAAGTGGAATAACATCTTCAGGGCCGTTCCTAAGAAAATTGGGTCCTGTGCGAAAATTCAAGATGACCCATTTTTGTATAATTGTAAATATATAAAAGATATATTATATTGTATAGTACCACAATATATAATACTCTATAAAAAATTTATCATTCTAATTTTCAATTGAAATTAAAAGTGACATTCTTCTTCTTCGGACATATTTAGATGTAAAATCAATCACCAATCTATTGAGTCTTTCTTACAATATACTTGATCGTAAGTAAGATTTCAACAACTTCAAATTTAAAAACTTTTTTATGCATAAAACAACAGTAATGCAAATAGTCAACACTATTTGATATTGCAATTGTAGCATCAAAATACAAGAAATTATATTGTTATTCACCTATCAAAAAATTAAATTCCTAACTGAATTACTAATTTAAAAATTATGAATAAAATTAAAGAATTAAAATATTTAACTTACACACTTCCATCCGTGAAGAATAAAAAAATTGAGAATGTAAAATACACAAATAACGCACTTCAAATTAATGAATTAGACCGAATTTCTGCGTTGTGAATACAAATCTTGCGTGTATGCAATATAATAGGAATAATAGTAAATTTTGACTCTTTATATATAATAATTTTACAATAGTCAAATAGGACCGCTTCAATTCCTATAAATTATAGTAAACTATAATTTTATATGTAAATCAAATTCTTTGGAATTAGGAAGGTAAGCTTTTTAGAATTTTAGACCGTCTTAATTTCTTCGTACATAAGTCAAACCAACACTAATCTTAACTATAATAAAGCTATATGGTTTGGGAAGTAATTAATGTTACAATTATTATTTTGGTGAGTAATTATTGTTACAATTATTATAAAATAGTCACGACATCCTTTACTATATATATATATATATATATATATATATATATATATATATATATATATATATATATATATATATATATATATATATATATATATATATATATATATATATATATATATATATATATATATATATATATATATATATAAAGCACAACATTTGAAAAATAAAATAAACTATTTTTTCTCCCCCATAACAAAGGATTACATTTATTTTAAATTTACTCATACAAAATTTGAAATTTGCTTTCTAAATGTAATTATCTTAGTTATTATTCGTATTGTGAAAATTATAATATAGATGAAATACAATTAAGAATAAAAAAGCAATGTAATTATGTAAATTCTCTCTATAAGTTTATTTGAATATGTACATAATTAGAGATTATATTAACCATACATAATTTTAATTTTAATTTTAATTGTAATTTTTTATTCTATAAAAACAATAAATACTTGACCGATTGAAGCTCAAAAATATTATTATATTAAACAATTTAAAATATTTTTATTTTTTTGAATTTTTTTATTTATATTTATAATAACATCATTTTTTCCCGTGCATCGCGCGGGTGAATTACTAGTATATAAAACATAAATATACAATAATTTTTTTTTTTAATAAAAGTGCCCCCAAAAATTTGGGGGCACAAAAGCTATATGCTCACTGTTGCTAGCTAGTGTATGTAATAATGTAAGTACATACATACATTTGGGGCCCCCAAAATTTGGGGGCCCTGTGCGCATGCCCTGGCCAAACATGGCCATGGACGGCCCTGAGCATCTTTACTATTGCCGGGTGGCAGGACAGCGCATTCTCGATTTGCTATACCACTCTCAGTGAATGAAGATTCCACCTGCAACATCTCGCAAAGCAGTGACCTTTGCGAACTTATAATCAAGTGCAAATTGATAATATGGGATGAAGCACCGATGACACACAAATACTGTTTTGAGGCTTTAGACAAAACCATGAGGGATATATTGAGATTCACTGTACCTAGTAGTGATCAGAAAATATTTGGTGGAAAGACAGCAGTATTGGGCGGTGATTTTAGACAGATTCTTCCAGTTATTCCAAAAGCAACGAGACCAATGATTGTAGGAGCCACTATTAATTCTTCATACCTCTGGAGGAATTGCAAGGTATTGAGGCTCACGAAGAACTTGAGACTACTGAGCTTAGCTTCAAATGAAGATAGACAGACGGTTGATTGGTTCTCAATATGGATTGCAAACATCAGAGATGGGATTACAGGGTTTGTAAACAATGGATTGTTTGAGATCGATATTCCACTAAGGTTTATGTTGAAGCGTGAACCTGAACCAATTGCAACTATAGTTAAAGCATCTTCCCAATGGCGAAGTATGGAATGCTAGAAGAGTCACACCTAGAAGGACGAGCGATCCTCTCACCTACTTTAGATGTTGTTGATCAAATTAATCAGTATATGTGTGACATGAACACTGCAGAAGGTCGGACGTATTTAAGCTGTGACTCTTTGTGTAAGCAGAATCAGATGGTGATAATCTCTCACAAGTACATACTCCTGAATTTTTAAATAGCTTTAGATTGTCTGGACTTCCTAATCATTCATTGAGAATAAAGGTTGGTGCACCTGATATGTTACTGCGGAACATAGACCACTCTCTTGGTCTTTGTAACGGTACGCGCCTCATCGTTACAAGATTAGTGGATCATATTGTCGAAGCAAGAATAGTTAATGGAATGCAGCAAGGAACCAAAGTTCTTATACCACAAATGTCTCTCACCCCTTTCTGATACGAGATTGCCGTTCAAGTTCCAGCGTAAACAATTCCCGTTGATGCTAGCATATGCAATGACTATCAACAAAAGTCAAGGTCAAACACTAACTCAAGTTGGCTTATTGTTGATAAAACCAGTCTTTAATCACGGTCAATTGTACGTGGCTTTTTCCTGAGTCACTCATCCTGATGGCCTTAAGGTTTTAGCTCTAGACGAGGATGGACAAACGTCTGTTACTACTACTAATGTCGTCTACAATGAGATTTTCAACAATGTGTAATTCTAAACAGTTTTATTATCTATTCTGCATGTACCAATATAATAAAATTGTTACATATCTACATATTACGTAGATATTCCGTTACAAAAATTTCTATAAATAAATTACTACACATAAAGATAATGAGACCAATTCATTCAATTTCGAAACATTAGTACAAACCTTAATTCAACGTCAAAATTTACACTATCGAATATGAAGCAAATTATAATTCATATATTATAACAAATATATTCCGTGTATAGCACGTGTGCAAATACTAGTATGTATAAATACATAGGGACGGAGCCAGAAATTCGATTGAGGGGGGGCGAAGAAGTAGTACGGATTCAGAAATTTTTTCCAGTAAAAGCGAAATATTAAAACAAAAGAGATAATTTTTTAAAAAATAAATAAATTTCCTAAGATTTTTTTTTTATATAATCATTACTTAAAAAATATAATTGTAAATATTGTTGGATATGTGCGAAAAATAAAACACATCAAAACTTTATAAAAATATTCATAACATAATATGAAACATAATTAATTTGATAAAATAATTTGAATAGAAAACACATTATAAATTACATATATTAAATATTAAAAAAGTGGCCATAGGGGAAGGATTCAAAAATATGTTAATGCAAAGATTTGAACCTAAAACCTTTTCCATTAACAAACACATGCTTTACCAACTACTTTAACTCCCTGCTTGTTAACATTTACTAATTTTTTTTTTTTACTAATACTAACACATATACTATATATATACATATATACATACAAATGTTATATATGGGGTGGGGTTGGGGTGAGGGGGGCAGCTGCCCCTTGCCCCCCTCTGCCTCCGTCCCTGTAAATACATCTACCCACACAATTAATGCATTCATACTATGAGAAAGCTAAACAATCAACAATTCAATATGTATTTTTGAAAAACAACAAGAATGATAAGTTATAAGGACAAAGAGAGATTCACCAAAGGCTATATGCATTGTTGATAAAATAATAGAGGATATATGAGTTTATAAAGACATGGTTAGATTAGTTAATTGGTTAGATTCAATCTTTTAGTGTGGTTTGACCAATATGCATTATAGCCTAGTTGAGTGACCCTGACCCAATATTAGTTTATAACATGCTATCAGAGCATGTTATGAGTATTGGTGGTGTCCAAGCTCATCTTAATTTATAACATGGTATCAGAGCCTGTTATGGGTATTGGTGGCATTCAAGTTTTCGTAAGCCCGCTTGTTCGGTTTACTTTAGTTGCGAGGATTTGGTCCAATTACAAGTAGACTATCAGAGCCATGACCCAATTCAATTTCAAATGGAGTATCAGAGCCCTACTCAATCTTAGTTTATAACAACAAGCTTGCCTTCATAAGCAACAACATCCCAACTTTTCAAGAAAAGAGACCACGGTGCAACATTGTCAAATACCTCCCCGATCGCAAGCCATACAATATATACTATAATATAATTATATTATAATATATAAAAATAAGTTAAATAACAATTAAAAATTAAAATTTTGAACTCAAAATCTAAATCACTAAATTCCTAAAACATTTCTAATCGACACCCAGACCTAGTCATCGCGAGTCGCGACTTCGGAGAAACTTCACAACCTACCGACGACGCAACTCGTCATCGCCACGACACCTCCTAACTGCCATCGCAACCTCTAGAATCCAGATTGTCATAGCCACGCCACTTCCAGAGTCCAGACCGTCATCGCCATGCCACCTTTAGACCGCCATCCCCATCGCAACCGCTAGACCTCCAGTTGTCCAGCAGAACCATCGCCACCTCCGGTGAACACTGAGAAGTCCAAGCAAGCAGCAACAGCTTCCCCTTCGTACTTCGCAGCTCAGAAGTGAGGCAAGTAATTTGCCCATTCTTTGACGAGCTTGACTTATTTACACACTTGACGCATTATAGCCTAGATAAGTGACCCTGACCCAATTTTACTTTATAACATGGTATCAGAGCCATAAGCTATGGTATTAGGGCATTTTATGAGTATTGGTGGCGTACAAGCTTATCTTAGTTTATAACCTGGTATCAGAGCCTGTTATGGATATTGGTCGCGTCCAAGCTTTCGTAAGCCCGCTTGTTCGGTCCACTTTGGTGGCGTCCAGAGCTTTCGTTTCAGGGGGGGGGGGGGGGGGGGGGGTTGGTCCAATTACAAGTAAAGTATCAGAGTCATGGCCCAATCCAATTTCAAGTGGAGTATCAGAGCCTTCCCTAGTCTAAGTTTATAACAACAACCCTGCCTTCATGTGAAGTGGGAGAAAAGTTGGGAATAGCAATATGAATGCATTAAATTGCTAAAGTATACATTAAGTGAACCTTAAAACATCTATGAAGTAAGAACTGAGTCGTCAATCTCTTCAAAAGTATAAATGCTTCTTTAATGGGGTCAGTAGACGGAAGAAAAGACACCACTTTATGAGAATTTGTTCTTCAGCATATGATCCCATTGAGTAGCCACCAAAAGCAACATCCCCAACTTTTCAAGAAAAGAGACCACAATGCAACATTCTCAAATACCTCCCCAGCACATTCTTGCAGTTCGTTCCGTGTGCTTGTGTAATCCATCATCGAATGCCTAGTCAATAATAGTGATTTTGCTTTAAGAGCTGATAAAGGCATAGAATTTGGTGTTCCAGATGACATTCCAAATCTCACCATGTAGCCCCGAGTTTTCAGGCATTCTAACGATCCCTAATCACAAATACAAGAGTTTCATACTACAATTTTAACGGAATCAGCAATTGTTAACAAAAACAAGAAGTCACGAGTCCTTAGACCATTTATTAACAAATATAATAAGAAAAAAAAGTACAAAGGTCTGAAAAATGAGATCAACAAGATTTGATGCCTTGCACTCAAGCAATTTGAGCAGCCAATTTGTTTGCCATACATACACATTTCCCCCTTAAGAAGAAACGTGAGGCCATTCAGGTCTCACTTCTAGCAAATCAGAGTCATGAGCTATGGTATCAGAGCATGTTATGAGTACTTGGTGGCGTCCAATCTTACCTTAGTTTATAACATGGTATCAAAGCCTGTTATGAATATTGGTGGTGTCCAAGCTTTGTAAGCCCGCTTGTTTGGTCTACATTGGTGGCGTCTAGGGCTTTCGTTTCAGGGGAAGGTTTGGTCCAATTACAAGTAGAGTATCAGAGCCATGGCTCAATACAATTTTAAGTGGAGTATCAGAGCTTTACCCAGTCTTAATTTATAACAACAAACTTGCCTTCATGCGAAGTTGGAGAAAAGTTGGGGAATAGCAATCTGAGTGCATTAAATTGCTAAAGTATACTTTCAGTAAACCTTGAATCATCTACGAATTAAGAACTGAGTCGTCAATCTATTCACAAGTATAGATGCTGCTGTAATGGGGTCAATAGACGAGGAACATGTACCACCTTATCTGCAGGGAGGATTTGTTCTTCAGCATATGCTCCCATTGGATAGCCACCATAAGCAACATCATCCCAAATTTTCTAGAAAAGAGATCACAGTGCAACATTTGCAAATACCTTCCCAGCACATTCCAGCAATTCATCCCGTATGCTTGTGTAATCCATCATTGAAGGCCTAACCAAGAATGGTGATTTTGCTGCAAGAGCAGATAAAGACACGGGATCTGGTGTTCCAGATGACTTTTAAAAACTCACCATGTAGCCCCGTGTTTTCAGGCATTCTAACGATCCCTGATCACAAAAAGAATAGTTTCATACTAAAATTTTAACGGAATCAGCAATTGTTAACAAAAACAAGAAGTCACGAGTCCTTAAGACCATTTATTAACAAAAATAATAAGAAAAAAAATAAAAAATTTTGAAAAATAAGATCAACAAGATTTGATACCTTGCACTCAAGCAATTTGAACAGCTAATTTGTTTGCCATACATACACGTTTCCCCATTAAGAAGAAACATGTTTTGTTAATGACAAGATGAAGAATCATTCATCTACATAGTTAATATTTGAAAAATAAGAATTATTAAAACACAAAATGTTGAGATTTACGACTTAGAGTTGAGGTTTGAGGAGTTAAAATTATTAATTATTATAATATTTATATATAATACTAGTATTTTGTACGCGCGATGCGCCAAAATTTATGTCCAACATTAAAAAATTGATAAATGCAAATAATTACAAGTTATAGTTCAAATTATATTTCGCAATTCTTTAAAGTAGTAAATTTTAATCATCGTATTTGAAAATTATAAAGATGAACAAAATTTATATTTTGTTTATTAATAATGTCAATTTTGATATAACTAGTATTTGTACCTGTGCGATGCACGGAATGGATTTGTTGTAATATAA